TTTTTGGCTAATGCTTTTCAGCAGGGTTCTGTGGCCTGTGCTGAATCATGCTTCCCTTACTCTGCCACTTCTTTCTAACATTATGAAACTGTAGAGTACAACCTGCATTACCCTCTATTATTTCTGGAGACGTATGAGTAAAGGAAATATTAAGTTTTGTTCAGCATGAGATGAAATCTGATACTTGATTTGATTGTTGGCTGTTAATGACCTGACAATTTTTTTTGATTGATTTTGTCACCAAATTCAGGTACTTTAATGGAGTGTTTAACTTGAAAATTACATTACCTAGCCTTGAACTAATCCCCTTAATGACCCTACTGGTTTTCTGTCTGGAGTACTTACACAAAGCATCTGTCTAGATGTTTATGCTTTTTAACAATGCCTGCTAACAACAAGAAGTAAGGTTGAATGCTCCAGAAAGTACAATTTAAGGGACATTTCTATTTCAAGAAACATATTCTTAAATATTAGTAATTGAAAGGTGGTGCTGTGTAATGCTGGGTGGGTAACAACTGAAATTAGAGATGCTGTCTGCAGAGGATGACCCATTTTTAGTGTTGTTATATGAGAGTGGGGATCCACTTGAGTAAAGTCATCAGCATTCCTTTTGTGAAGCATTAGGGAGCTGTCTCTACAGACTAGGAGTGGAGCTAGAAGGGAGCTCTTTGCTGTGCTGTAAAGATGTGTACTCTGACCTTCTGGAGAAGAGTGCAGGGCTGTGTTAGGAGAAGGAGCAGGCTGATACTACAGAAGACTTGTACTGTGATATTAGGTTGTTATCTCTGAAGAATTTAGGGATGGCGAATGCTGCCAGCAAACCTTTTCAAGTGTTTGGAAACATTTTGAAATTGATATCCCATCTGAAATCTGTTCCTTTTCAGAGGTATTGGCCTTTTGTCTTTCCTGGTGGTGGAAGAACCGTCTCTTTTTTTTTATCAAAGACAAGAGAGCTACTTCCTGTCTCTTGTGGTCGGTACTAGTAATTTGTGGTATAATCTTTGTTTGACTTCATTTGCAGTAAAGAGTCAGTGCTGACCATAAGAAGAGAGCGTAGTGCTGGGCAAGCCTCTTGTGGAGACACCAAAGAGGTGATAGATGTAGGGATCATCATGCTTCTTACTAGCAAAAAACTGCTGTTACTGGCTGGCTTTAGGCTTTTTGGGCTTGCAGGATCTCTGAAGATCAAATGTTTAACCTCAGATAAATTCCAAAGGATGTTCAGGATTTTGCAAACCTGCTGTTTAGGTGGGTTTCCTCTGTCCAGTACTGAAGGACTGCTATACTCAGTCAAGCAGTGAATATTTGTACCATAAACCAGCAAGTGAAATGGAATAAAAGAGACACCAGGTACTCCGCACAGGTTGTTTTTTTTTTTTTGCTTTATCTGCCTGTGCACTGAAGAAAAATTTCAAGAACTTGAACTTGTTTATTCCTTGGAAGGCATTGGTGGCAAAGGACACACTGGGTGTAGTGACTTAAGTCTGACTGTCAGTGGTTATCAAGAAGATGCAGAGTAGGAAATTATCCCTTGAAGGCTTGTCAAAGGGCAGATTGCTCTCTGCACTCCAAGGACAGTATTTATCCCAAGTAATTTTCTGGATGCTGCAGAGGCTCATGGATTAGACAACAGCAAGTGAATCTTTAATTAAAGACCACCTGGAAAACATGAGTTGCCATGTCTTTATGCTGCTCCTGTTCTGTACTCGAATTTAAGACTGGCATATGGAACAATCTAGTTTAGAGATTTAAAGATAGTCTAGTTTAAAGATAAGAAACTTTTGAGTTGTCTTGATCAATCTTATGAAAGTTGCTACTAAGAGGCCCCTCAGTTTAAAGTAATTGATTGTATGGCTCTTTTACAGAAAAGCATCTGTCCCACTGTAGAAGTACTTAAGATCAAAGGGGACCTAACCACTAATTGATGTATGGTTCCGCTCTTTGAAGACTTCAGAACCTGTCTGGATTTTCCAAATGTGTTGCAGAGTTACAGTAGCTTCCAAGATGGAATTTCATGATTTTAAGATAAAATACATGCACAAATTTAACAAGGCAAACCAGTACTGAAGTTTTAAACCACTTCCTTTTTTGTGTGTATGCACTTGAATTTAAACTATAGTGGTAAGCTTTGGGTCTCCATATATGAAAATGTGTATTAAAAACCTGATCCCAGAAAGCAGACTTCAAACTAAAATCCTTTTTTCACCATTTTCATGATGACCTGCCATTTGGATACTTTTAATCCTCAATCTATGTAAAAGTTACGTCTTGCATTAAATCCTTTATGTTTTTTTCTGTGGATTTCTGAGGTAATCCTCTGTGTGCCATATAGCTTGTTCTTCAAATTGCTTGTCTATAATATCCTCATTTCTAGGAGTTTTGTTTAAAAAGCTTTAAACCATTGATTTTAAACAAAATTCAGCTGGATATAAATTTCTTATACATTGTTTTACACATTCTGCATGTCTAAATTCTTATCCTGTTGAAACTGTTTAGTACTTCCTGTAATTTAGTCCGTGAATGCGTCAAATGAGGCACTTGGCAGAGGAGTCACTGATGTTCTTGATAATGAGTAAGAATCTTTTTATAATGGCTTTTGTTGGTTTTTTTCCCCTCTTAGAGATTTCATGGGAAAGAAAGACTCCATTCAAAAGGGAATGTGTGTTTTCACAGTTGGGCAGTAGATAGGTATTGCTGGACTGTTAGTGGTGTACCAAAACATATTTTCCTTCCTGTATCTTATGTTTTTTATCATAGCTATGTATCTTAAATGTGGAACACATAGAGAGTCCAACATTTTGTCTGTGGCTTATCCTGGGCTTTTTTTCAATGTTCTACTTAAAAAAAAAAAAAAAAAAAATCAAAAATCTGATTAAAAAAATAAAAGATAAAACTTCTTGACATTGACCACATCTTGATGTTTTTATTTAGCCAGGTAAGGATTTAGACTGAAATGCATGTCAAGATAGTAGATTTGATTTTCACTGTGAAAGCTGAGATTTGTTTTCACAGGTGGTAGTTCTCAGCTTTCTTTCCATCCCTGTATAGGTTCTGTATTGTTGATCTGAGTGAGGAGTGCTTTCATCAGAAAATGGATTCAGGGATCCTATTTATGTAGTGCAACACTGCAGACAGCGTGTAAGTTTAATGATGGAAACAAACTGCAGCATGTGGGCAAAAATGTGTCACTCATGTGGGGAACTGAGAGCTTCCTAAAATGCCTTTGCTGCTGAGGATAGCATAATGTGTAAATATATTCTCAGACACTCTGATAGTACTAGAGGGTTTAAAATCTATAAGTTCAAGTTGCCTTGTACTAGAAGTGCTCTATGATGTCTGTTCTGTAGTGTTTTTAATGAAGTGCAGTTTGCTGCAAAGTAGATTTATTGTTTCTTGAGCCCAGGCATACTTAAATCACTGCTGGTTGAAGTCACAGAATTACAGAAAGGCCTGGGTTGGAAGGAATCGTAAAGAGCACCTAGTTCCAATGCCATTGCCATGGGCAGAGCACTTCCCACTAGGCCAGGTTGCTCAAAGCCCCATCCAAGCTGGCCTTGAGCGCTTCCATAACTTCTCTGGGCAACCCATTCTAGTGTCTTGCCACTCTCACAGTGAAGAATTTCTTTCCAATATATAACCTAAATATACCCTCTTTCAGTTTAAAGCCATTCCCTCTTGTCTTTTCATTACATGTCCTTGTGAAAAGTCCCTCTCTAGCTCTCTTATTGGTCTCCTCTTGGTACTGGAAGTTGCTGTAGGATCTTCCTGGAGCCTTCTCTTGTCCAGGATTTTGTCTTCATAGGACATGGTGGTCTAGCCCCTCTAATAGTCATTGTGGCCTTCCTGGAATCTCTTCAGCAGGTCCATGTCCATCTTATGTTGACTTAGGCAAATAGCTTTCCCCATATAGTACACCTGTCCTGGTAATGGGAACATGAATGAGTTGTATGTATGTGAGCCTTTATAAGGTGTCTCTTTAATTTTTCTCTAAGCACATAAACACTTAAGCGAGGACCAAGACCTTGGCAAACTGGTAGATTGCTGAGCAGGTTAACTAGAGGACAATATTTTATTTGGAATAGGTGGTTACTGCGCCAGTGCTTAGTGGAATCAAGGTCTAGGCACCTCAAAGCTCTGGTATTCTGAGGGAGGATGAAGCAATGTGAGCGAGGCAGGTGGTGACCGTGAGCAAACAGGACACTGCTGTCTTGTCTTTAAGAAACCTGTATGGTGACTTGAAGTGTCTTGCTCTTCTTGATGCTTTGTCTTTCTTATACATCATGGTTTATAATTGCCTCCTTGAGATAAAGAAGTTTTTTTAATTGTGTAAAATATTTAGGCAAAAAAATGCATAGTAGCACCTCTTTAAAATTCTGGTAATAGTATCAGCCTCCTCTAAGCAAGTGATCTGTTTTAGAGATAATTTTTATATATTTATTGCAGAAAGGGCATTTATATCTTAACTGCAAAAAACCTTAATTAATAAAAATTCAGTGTATGACTAAATGCTGATCTATAAGTCACAATGTTCTCTTGATGCTAGGAATGTAATATTTTCATGGAAACATCTCACTATGTAATTTTTGCAAAAGATTCCCATAGCATTTTTTTAGTCTTTTTTAATGGGTTTCTGTTCAGTAATACTTAATTTGCTGTGAAGAATCTCAGAGGGATTTAAGACTGCTGTTTTATTGTGCATTATTGTAGGCTGTTACGTCACTTTTCCATCCCCACAGTCTTCAAGTGGGTAAATGTTATTTTCTCTGCTGATATTTCTGTTTAAAAATTGATTATAAAATAACACAAGCTGTTTTGTTACATTGAAAAAAAATTAAGCTGTATCATAAAATATTTAGTACAAAATGGTTAAAACTGCCTGGAATCTACTCATGCATATTTTACTAAGTTTTTTTTAGCTGATCACTGAACTGAACCCCACTTTTAATGTATATTTTTAATTACTCTGATACTGAAAGACTAAGATTTGTCTTTGTTTGCAGAAGAAGCCACCTGAGTGTGCCAGGAAGTTAGAGAACAGCTGTCTTCTCAAACGAGTAAATAGTATTGATATTCCACGCTCCTTTTTAAATGGTAAGTTGTTCAAGAGAGCTCTTGCTGAACATTCCTTGTCAACTTTGCATGTGTGAATCTATTACAAATAGCTTTGACTGTGATAAGTCCCTCAAACTGAAGACCAGTGATGAATTTTAGAAACTTGTCCAGAAGGTTTTGAGTTAGCCTTTGGAAGGTAGTTTATATTTTTGATACATAGGTGGTTTATATTTTGTAATGTTGACTAGGCCCTGAAATAAATGTCAAAAGCGTTGCTCACCCAGGAGGCTGGTAGCATTTGAATACTAATCTTATTGTGTAGAAACTAGAATAAATTTATTTTATTCATGGTTGTTCATGAGATACTGGATTTATAAATTTGCATCTGTTAATTACTTTTACCCTGTATAATCTGTACTTTGTTGATGTATTGTCTAAGAGATTTAAACGAAATCTGCTGAAGTTGAATGTGAATGTTTGTTGGCATCAAAGTGCATCGGGTAATAAAAGATTTGTACTTATTGTTATTAAACTAGCTGTGTGGGGAAATATTTCCCTACCCCCAATCTGTCTCAGCTGCCCCCACTGAAGGCCAGGGACCTTTAGATTAGGATTATCTGTTGCGTTGTTGGAAGAGTAGCACTTCCCTCACCTTGTGACATAAGAGGTGGGACACACCTGGGGTGCTAATGAAGGACAGCTGGCAAAGTGCAGACAATTTTGTTACAGTAAGTAAAGCTGCTAAGTGTGTGCATGTGTGTAATTATAGGGAGCTGCAGCTTGTTGGTGTCTGGGAGAGAGAAAGCTTTTGAGCCTGGGAAGAAGCTGAAGAGCAGATTTGTTGCTTTTCCTTCAGAGAGGGTGAGGTTAAAAGTAGTATTAGCTACCTGTAGAAGAGACTGTTTTCTTCCTGCATTGCACACCACAGTGCTGCCTTTGCCAGAAACCATGGCCAGCCTTGCTTCAAGGTCTCTGAGCAACAGTAAAGTATGCAGCAGTGCTTTAGGAGATTGTTTAGGATACTGTTCTCTTGTGTTCTGGAGCTGACTGTCTATAACCCTGGTTGTGATCCTTTGGCACACTTTTCCCCTCAGCTGAAATTCACTTATGCTTGTTTCAGTTTTGAGTTCTGAAGAAATTCTTGATGATACTCAAGATGCTTTTCAACATATATGTTCTGAAAGAGATTGCACTTTAAGTTAAGAAAAGGAAGAATTCTGGAAAATGTGTGCATTCACAATTTCAAGTAGGAAACTGTTTAAAGGAATGAAGGAATAAGGAAGCAATATGGTGCACACAGGAGTGGGAGGGTTATGGTAACAACTTTTGAAGGAGAAGGGTGAAAGAAAACTCACTCTTTCCCCCTTTACCTCTCTTGCATTACCCATTCAGTGGAAAGGTAAATCAGTGGTTATATACTGAAATCATTTGGAAAAAATATCTCTTGCCATAAATGTCAAAAGTGGAGGAAATGTGTCAGGGAAAGTAGTTTGAAAAAAAAAAAAAGTAAACCAAGTGGACATATCCAGGATTGAAAATATGCTTCACTACTAGATTAGCAGATCAGCATATTGTGTATTAACAAAGTAGTGAATGTTACAGCACTATTACACTTCAGTTGCCTTTCTTGCTGCATGGGAACATCATCGCTTTTATTCACAGGGAGCTAGAGAAATTAATTACTACAGGAATAAGAACCTTGGTTTTGGAATATTTTACCTAGGCTCTATTTATTAATAAAACTTCAAAAATTATTTTGAGACATTTGCTGTTCATTCTCAGTGTAGTTTTATCAAGTATTTTCTGTTTCTTTGTGCAGTTTAAGCTCAAATTTCATGTAAAGTTTAATTGAAGTGCCAAGTGTTTAACTAGTCTGGAGTTTAATGTAACTGATGGTGTATAAAGACAATGCTGAGCATACTTAAAAATATCAACCTTTAAGTTTTTAAAAAAATATTAAAATCTAATTCTAGTAAACAAATTCTAATTTTTTTGGTTGAGCATTGATCATTCATGTATCACAAACATTCAGATTGGGCATAAAATTTGGAAACTACCTGATCAGTAGAATGAGAAACTTGTACTTGAAATAATGGTTGATTTTTACAGAAATTATTAAATTTCTATTCAAAGAATTTCACTTTCAAGTCATAATAAAAATTTAAACAGCTTAATTTGCCTTTTCTGCATGCAGGGTAAGGTATTTGAATTTGAAATTAAGTCACTCATTTTGTCACTTGGATTATCATTGTGCCTTATCTCGCTTCTCTCTGGATTTCCTACTGTGTTTTGCTAGTATAAACACCCCCAAAAGTTGTCAGGTTGATAAAAACTATATATTAAATGTTTATAAAAGTTGCTGATTGCTTAAAATGCCATACTGTGTGAGTAGCGTGCACTGGCTTTTCTAAACGTCCGTTATAAACCTACAACACTATGGTACGAAAGTGTTTTCCACAAAGAAAGTTAGAGAGCATGGAGTGAGGAATAAAATACCACATGCAGGGCTTGAAAACAGCCTCTGGTGCTTACTATCCCAACTGTCAATTTAGTAGACTACCAGAAGAATTCTTTTGTCATCACATACGAACAATTCTAAGGAATGCACCTTTACACTTAGCTTGGCAGAAAAAAATACTGTGTATTCACTTACACGTTTTGAAAAAAGATGTTAAAATTATGTTTGTGATTGCTGCGTGGATAATAGTCTTCAGAAATATAGTCTTCAGAAATACTTTTATTGAGAAAGCAACTTAGATATTTTCAGTCAGGATTAAACCAAATTTATGTGCCAAGACTTTTGCCTGTACTATCTGACTCTTCACTCGTTCTTTAACCTTAATGGCTGCTAAATTATAGAATTACTTAGTAAATTAAATGTTTGATTTAAAACAAACCATTAAGAATAGTCTCCTGAAAGAAATAAGCTTTTCAGAATGGGGCAGACTGAGTGTGGAAAGTAGGTTGGGCAGGAGAGAAATAGTGTCTGGAGAATGGTGGAAGGTTTTTGGGATACTTGACCAGTGAAATGCTGCAGATCACTAATTGCATAGCAGTGGATGAGGGGGAATAACAGGACAGTGTTTTTCCAATGGTCTCCTGGGATGGAAAAAGATGTATAAGAAAGGCAAAAGTATTGCAGAATTCTTATATTACAAATGGTAATGCCAAAAGGAGGTGGAACTGGTTTTGGGAGAGACTAACTTAAAACAGGATAGAGACGTGATCACAGATTTTAATCTTCGGGTACATGCATTTTTGATGAGCTTTTTCTTGTTTTCTGTCCGATTTTGATGTTAGGAGAGGCTGAATATTTGGGTTTAGCTGTTGCTTGTCTGGGGTTAAACTCTTTTCAGTATGCACTTACATTTTGGACTTGACTGCATGGAGTTGGATTACATTGCAGCCTGGCAAAATGGGCTTGATGTTAGCAAATTTCTTCTCTTTCTGTATTAAAACTGGTGTCTGCACTGTGAGAGCCTTAGCATGCTCATCACATATAGAAATAGTCTTTGTTATCACGGTCTGAGACTGGGAAATTTTCACTTCTGCAAATAAATGCAATCATTGGCCTCTTCTCTGAACTTTTCTGTGATTGGCATCATAATAACTTCCCTCTGAATTATGCAGCTAGTGCACAGGGGTCTGCTTGAAGATGAGGCTTAAATCTTGGCTGCCTCTGCAATGATTAAATAAATCAGCTTCTAAATTTAACTGATGTAGTTAAATTACTTCTTCAACTGTGCATAGATTAGTCTCTAATGGGTTGATTTCTTTCCATATGTGCTTGTAGGCTGTGTAGATTACATTGATTATTTTAAAGTGTAGTTAAGAGCAATCTAAGTATTGATAGGCTTGTTACATAATTTGGTGGGGTGTATGGAAGATCCATGTAATCACAGATAACTTTAAATTACAGTCTTTGAGACTTGGAGTCAATGTGTTTGTGCCTACAGTCACCCTGTCAGTCCATAAAAACAAACTGGTCTCCAGTCACAACAGGTTTTACTTGGTTTGATGTGATTTTGAACCTCAGGAAGGGTGCCAACAACCAGAGCATTGCCCCTGGAGCCTCATCACAGAGATGGCAATAGCTGTCCTTTTTCTGTTCACCAGCCAGCTGGTCACAGCTGTAGTTAAGAAATCTATTCCTCTTGGTTTGGGGGATCTCATTCGCTCAATGGTTTTAAACTAATAATTGCATTTCACAGGAGAAGATTTTATCACCAGTATAACAGCAACAGCACTCCTGTGAGGGAGGCAAGTTTAGAGTAGGTTCAATTCCGAATTCAGCATCTTTCTTTTTTTCTGTTTCATATTTAAAGAAAAACAAAAGCATCCTGAATATTAACATGCCAGGATTTAATTCCCCCTCACGCCATTGTTTTCACTTAAACATGTTTAGGTTCAAAATCTACTTCCTAATGTTAAGAATGAACATCTAGGAAATATTTTTGTTCAAAGCAATTTAATGATAGGAAATATTGAAAATGTTTTGATCCAGTATGCAAAATAATTTGAGGCAAACTTATGGCAAAGTTCACTGCTAACCATTGTGGAACTGGAGGGGTGAAAAACATCAGCTGGGTTTTTCTTTCTTTGGAAACAGGTGTCCTAATTGATTTCCAAATGCTCTCTTTAGGTTTACAAGAGACTACTGTGACCATCAGTATCTAGATGGCTGCCCTTTCTTTTTTAAATTCAGGAATAAAATTAAAGAGTACTTCATCAATACTCATTGCAGTGTTATACTTTTACTTGTAAATAAATAATTAACGTGTAAAGCTTCCTCATTTATTATTTGGTTTGTCCGGCTCAAGCAGGGCCATCCCAGAGCACGTGGTACAGGATTGTGTCCAGATGGTTCCTGAATATCTCTAGTGAGGGAGACTCCACACCCTCTCTGGGCAGTCTGTTCCAGTGTGCAATCACTGCGCACTAAAGAAGTTCTTCCTTATGTTCAGGTGAAACTTCCTGTGCATCTGTTTCTGCCAGTTGCCTCTTGTCTTGTTGTTTGGCACCACTGAGAAGAGCCTTCA